CAATTTCCCTGATGCTGATGCTAGAAAATACAAAGCTGTCATGCAAACAGTTGAGGAAGAAGTTGGCCTTCTTACCACCCTATCCAAGATCAACCCCATCATGACAAATGATTCTGCCAGTGCCCTGCACAACCTCAGTTTTGATCTCAGCCTTGCGGGACAACATGATGCTGCCATATCCACTGCTGAACAAGCTGTCAAGCTTACCCCACTGGACAACCCAGAACGTGCAAACAGATTGCAAAATCTTGGTGTGTTATTTGGTCAGCGGCACCAGAGACTGGGTGACTTGAGTGATCTTAAAGCTGCATTAGAAGCAATTCGAGAAGCTGTTGCTCTCAGCCCACAGGACGACCCAGATCGTGCAAACAGATTGCAAACTCTTGGTGCATTATTCGGCTATCGGCACCAGAGGCTGGGGGACTTGAATGATCTTGAAGCTGCATTGGAAGCAACCCGGGAAGCTGTTGCTCTCACCCCACAGGACAACCCAGATCGTGCAAACAAACTCAAAAATCTCAGTATCGCATACAGGGACCGATTTGAGAGACTGGGTGACCTGAAAGACCTTGAAGCTGCAGTACAAGCAATTCAGGAAGCTGTTGCTCTCACCCCAGACAGCCATCCGGATCGAGCAAACAAATTGCAAAATCTTGGTGCATTATTCGGCTATCGGCACCAGAGACTGGGGGACTTGAATGATCTTGAAGCTGCATTGAAAGCAACCCAGGAAGCTGTTATCCTCACCCCACATGACTACCCAGATCGTGCAAACAAACTTGAAAATCTCAGTATAGCATACAGGGACCGATTTGAGAGGCTGGGTGACTTGAAAGACCTTGAAGCTGCATTACAAGTGATTCAACAAGCTGTCGCTCTCACCTCAGACAGCCATCCGGATCGAGCAAACAAATTGCAAAATCTTGGTGCATTATTCGGCTATCGGCACCAGAGACTGGGGGACTTGAATGATCTTGAAGCTGCATTGAAAGCAACCCAGGAAGCTGTTATGCTCACCCTACAGGACCACCCAGATCGTGCAAACAAACTCGAAAATCTCAGTATAGCATACAGGGACCGATTTGAGAGGCTGGGTGACTTGAAAGACCTTGAAGCTGCATTACAAGTGATTCAAGAAGCTGTTGCTCTCACCCCACAGGACCACCCAGATCGTGCAAACAAACTCGAAAATCTCAGTATAGCATACAGGGACCGATTTGAGAGGCTGGGTGACTTGAAAGACCTTGAAGCTGCATTACAAGTGATTCAAGAAGCTGTTGATCTCACCCCACAGGACCACCCAGATCGTGCAAACAGATTGCAGATTCTTAGCATCACATTCAAGGATCAATATGAGAGCCTGGGTGACCTGAAAGACCTTGAAGCTGCAGTACAAGCAATTCAGGAAGCTGTTGCTCTCACCCCAGACAGCCATCTGGATCGAGCAGACCAACTCAAAAGTCCTAGTATAGCATTCAACAATCAATATCAGAAGCTGGGTGATATCAAAGACCTTGAAGCAGCATTGCGAGCTACCCAAGAGGCTGTTGCTCTCACCTCTTATAGGCACCCTCAGCATGCCCACAAACTGCAAATTCTTGCCCGTGCCACTGATGACAAAAAACACTGGGCTATGGGGCATGCAACTGCCAAGGAGAAGGCCAGTGAATAAACACAAAACCAACCAACAGATAAACACATATACTGTGACATACACTTACACTATTAATATACACCATGTCACCACAGTACTAGTTGTAGGGACAAGTTTCACTCCGTAGTATGCAGACAGCTAGAATTGAAATCTAACTGTTATTTATTGTGGGATGCAGTTTACAATCTTAAATTGAACTTCCATAGTTAAAACTGATTGAAATGTGTGATGCAGTGCGTTCTTGGAGCAACGATTGTGATTTACATGATTCACTTCAATCCATTTTCTGTTGAGTTTGTATCTGGCAGGTGGTGGTCGGCAATAAATGATGTGACTCATAGTGATGTTCACCTGGGCTTGAGCAAGCTGGGCTGGTGCAACACCGGGCTTGAGCAGGCCCAGGGCTTAAGCTTGAGAAATGTCAGGCCCTAGGCTTAGGCTTTGAAGCCCAGTCGTTTAATTCCCTTTTACAGCTGCCTTCTGGCATGTTATTGAGGAGAAAAGTGTTCAACATCACTCCAGCATATACTATGAACATTTTGAAGACCCACAGGTACAACAGGAAAAGTTTCAACGCCAAAATATTCCAAGCCCAAGAAAGCCTGGGTCTAGTGCTTCAAGCTTTGGTCGCAGGCTTGGGCTTGGGCTTCAAAACCTCAAGCCCAAGCCCGCTGAACATCACTAGCTCTGACTCACATCATTGAATTGTTGACCATTTGGCAGGTGCTCCAAAGATGCCCTCACTATGAAGCCAGCTCAGGTTGAAATTCAGCAGGACGTAGGTTGATTAACACCTTTCAACCTATTTTGGGTGGAGTTTAGGATGAATTTGTATCAACCTATAACACAGGTTGATATACGACCTACCCATTTCAACCTACGTTGGGTTGAATTTACCGCGATAGCACTGACCACACGAATCAACCTATGTTCACTTCAACCTATCACAGGATGTTTCACGCAAAACTCTCGGATACTACCCACAATCTCGCCTCTGATCAACTGGATGCCTTGTTTATGACTACAGTTCGGCGTCTGAACATCCTCAACAAATCCCGAAGAACGACTTGGACTTGTCCGAGCGCCGGAGACTGTGATCAAAGAATGACGTGATTCATCGCGTGATTTGATGGTTGGTTGCCATGTCCACGACTCCACGTTGACGGCTCTCTTCCGTACTCCCATGTCGCTCTCGTCCTTCCCCAATGTCCCTCCTCGTTATCCCCACCGTCGTGTCTTCCCCTCGTGCACATTCCTCAAAACTTGCTTCAAGGCCACCTCTACTTTCAAGGCCTTCAATGTCTCTGGGCCTCCATCGGCACATTCCAAGCTGTGTTCTCTTCAATACCTCAAGCAAGCCTCGAGCTCAGGCTACCTTTACTGCCCGGTCTCAATGTTCCTCAAGCCAACTGTCTCGACAAGTCTTTTAAAGCCGCTGCTGTTCTGTCTCCCTGTCTTTGTTGGTGGATCCGCTTGATTTGGTGATATCGTTGGGAGTTTGGTGGATTGTCCGGAGTCGCATGTACGTGTGCACTCCATTACCCTTGCCTCCCAATCTAATTCGGATTGATAGCATTCGGATCGTCACGTATACCACCAGCACTTCTTCCCCTCGCACACCATGCGCACCAAGCGCTTCCCGTCGTATGCGCCGTCCGCGCCGTGCCAATCGTCTTTAATCCTTAGTTTACTGCATGTTCTTCCATTGTGAAATGAAATACATATTCCAATGCATTTTAAATGGTGTGTTTCAGACCTCCCTGCGACTCTCAATAGTTACCTGGAACATCCTACGACAGGATGAATTTACGCTGCACGCCTCATTCGGCAGTAGGATGTTTTGACCCCCTGGTAGGTAACAAATCAACCTGCGCAAACCAACCTACAGCATCGCACTTATCATCCTACACCTGTTCAATTTCAACCTAAGCCGGGTTCAATCACACCCTATCATAGATTGAACTGTAGGTTGAATTTCAACCTTTCCCGCCGTCTCAGAGCCTTTGTCTTTCTTTTGTCCATCCTTTGTATGCTCTTTGTCTGTGCAAAGCCTCTTTGCTCATCCTTGTGAAATGTCACACAAAATGCAGTGCGAGAGCTGCACTGGGTGCCTGCAGCTATTTTTGGGTGTGTTTCACTTCATCTGGGAAACCGTACTTGGCTACATCGCAATACAGAGTCCAGTAGAGCAGTAGAGAGGTAGGCATGTCCCCCTCTACTGTAGAGCACCATAGATCCATAGATCCATAGAGCGGTAGAGCGATATGAGAGCTCACTTCATGATCACTTAGGAACGGACGTTACACGGCAAATATTCCACTATCGAACGGAAGAACATAGAACAGCTTACACTTGCCCTTCTCCTGAAATCCATACGAATGAGACAACAAATGACAAAAACCCACCGTGAGAGTCGAACTCGCAACCTTCAGATTAAGTGTCTGACACTCTATCCAATTGAGCCAGGTGGCCATCGAATGGAATAAATCAATATCAGACATTATTGAATGGAAGAAGGTAACCACCAGCCGAAATGTCGAACACTCTTCCCCTCACAATGTTGCAATACGGTCTCTGCTCCCATTGGCACAGTTCACTCCCTCGAAAGGGGTCTTCATGGATAAAAAAAAGCCACTTGGAAATAAATATCCATGACCTGACCCTGAATCGAACAGCGATCTTCGCAGTTGAAGGCGAAATACAAATATACGGTCCTGCGATGTGCTACCAGCTACGCCATCGGGTTGTGTGGAAGGATACTCGAAGGGACAATTACACCATCAGACCGTACGCACAAGTATGCCCGAGGACAAGGAAAGGACCGCTCAACACAATGAACAGGATAAAAATGTTCAGGCTTTTTTGAAGGACCTGACCTCAAATCAAACGAGGGGCTCCACCGAAACAACCAATAATCTCATTCATGGTTCTGTGGCGTGTTACCAACTACGCCATCAGGTCGTGCATGGGGAATGTTCAGGGAAACTGTATGGTCACCATATTGAACGGCGGGGAAAAAGGAAAACCAGATGTGAGAACAGGGCCTGACCTCGGATCAAGCAAGGACCTCCGTCGTAAAGAACCGTTCGAATCTGTTGACAAGTGGGGGGAAAAAGGGGAGACAAATAACGAACAGAGGATAGGGAAAAAAACATTAATCTCCCCGCTATGGCCTAGCCTCGAGTCGAACGAGGGACTCCACAAGAATATGCTAACAACAACCATCGATATCAGGTGCGTTAACCGTTACGCTACTAGGCCGATTAAGGGGGGAACCAAAATATACAAGTCAGGAGAAACAAAACAACGAACGGCGAAGGTGTAAAAATCTGATAAACATGCCCCATGGTCCAGCCTTGGTTCGAACAAGGGTCTCCATCGTAAACATTGGCGTGAGGAGAAGTATAACACTTTCGATAGCGCGTCAACCGCTACGCCACTGGACCATGGACAAGGCTCACGGGAAAAAGAATATTGTTTCGAACTCCCTTAGGGCCTGACCTCGGATCGAACGGGGACCTCCGTTGTGAAGAGTGCGGAATAGTGTACTCTGTGATGGCACACTACCGGTTGTGCCACCAGACCGTTAGATTCTGCCACAAATGGGGGCTAGAAAACGAGGAAATTAACGGACAGCGAAAGAGCAAAACTTCATAAATGTGCCCTGCATGGCCTGGCCTTGGTTCAAACAAGGGGAAGAGTGTGCGGAAGAAGCATGCTCTCGACGGCACGTTACCAACTGCGCTACCGGTGATAAGCCGTGTATCGGGTTTAGGCCTGTTTCACGTGCTTTTCGTGTTTTCTGTTAATATAAACACGCGTCTCAAGCATAATATCAGAACTGATATTATGCTTTGAGCCTACTCTTAACGGGAACCATAGCAAGTCCACCTGTAGTAGCTATTCAGAATGCTCATACTGAATTAGGACTGTTGTATGGGTTATAATCAAAACTGGGTTATATCCTAAAGGTTCAGGTTGTACTAGAGGGCTCCCTAATTCACAATATACCTAGTGGGCATCTGGGGGATTTATTGCCAACATCATATCAACACCGGTCACTTGATTTGAACCTTTGTTTATATCACTTTGTGTCAAAATGGGATACATGTTGGATCATGTGACCGGTCCAGCACTTGGCCGAGGTCATGTTCCGAATAAGTCTGTTTTGGCCTTATCCGAAACATGATCACATCAAATCACGATCGACTCGAAATGGGAAGATTAGGGTTCCATCCCAGGAACTTGATCTTTCAAGCTCTTCCCACCAAAGTGCGGGGTACTCAGTGGAAGCTATGGACTTGTAGATTTCATTTCTGAGTATCTTGTTCGTGGGCACGGCCCTAGTCAGAACCTATGGGCTAATCTCGACTTCCAGCATCACACGAAGTCTGAGATAAGTCCCAAGGCAACTAATGGACATTCAGGAGTTTCATTAATCTTTCTTAGTTCAACTGTGACTGCTTGGCTACTGATATGACTCATTTTTCTATTTATTTTAAACACATGTATACCCGATTGTCTGTCACACCCCTACTCCGTTTATCCGCGATAGTGTAATTCTCTCAGTTTAAGTGTTATAGTGTACAGTATAAATTAGAGAGAGAACTGGCATGTACGGTACAGAATCCCACCCCGGTTATTGAGGTGCCACCCAGTTACGGCCCTCCTTAACAAACGGTTCGGATCTGGACTTGTCACTCAGGGCTACTCTATTCAGAATAGTTCCGTTCCAAGTTGTAATATAAATCCCTGCACACCCCTGGCGATACCCCTTGACTCCTGACTGATTGTGAATTGTATTGAACCTGTGGCTTGTGAATTGGCTTGTGGTATAGCCTTTGTGTTTGGGATTTGGCTTGTGGTCTTGGAATTGGAATTGTGACCTGGCTTGTGGTATAGCCTTGGACTTGGAATATGTTTGGGATTTGGATCATAGCTTTGGACACTTTACAATCCACTTTGCGAATAGGGTGCTATAACTTCGGTTACAAGCCTGATTTCACTCAGCATGCATAACGCACACTTCACACACTTAACAGCAAACCCTTGAATACCTGCTCCCCTCATAACAATACGAACTCGGCAGTGATTGTAGCTAAGAATACATAGGATTAGGTTGTTTGTTGTATCTTTGCCTTCATCTGCATTCAAACCGTTGAGTCTTGGTGTTTCAAAGATTCCAGTTACATCCCCCTGTGCAACCCTTTCACCGGACCATGTGTATCAGACGGAAAGGGCTGGGAAAAAGAGGACTATGCACATAACCACTAGGGCCGGTGTCAAGTGTATTTTCGGTAATACGCGTGGTCCACTGGGAGTGACGTTATCCGAGTGTTTCACGCACAGAAGAGGAGGAGGGCAGAGAGTGAATTTATCCTTAGTTTACAGAAAGTAGCCAAGGACGGAGGCGGGAGGTAAGCTAGAGGTGGCAGATAATTTTATCTAGAATCGCAAGAATCTCTCAAGTCGGCTGAGAGCGAAGCGAGGCACCAGATAAGTTCAGGGGCAGTCGGTAGAATAGAATAGGCCGTAAATGTGGTATACGGGCTACTCAGGTAATAAATCACTGGTCGCGTAAATATTCAGTCAGAACAAAACTCTCGTCCAGGATCGAGGATCAAGGATTGGGTGGTGAGAATGGTGTTTTGTTTTATGAAAGAATAAGAAGGCTAGGGCAAATTTATACGGGAGTTTGCAAACACGTAAAACCACTTTACGAGCTAGCACGGAGTTATACGGTTGGTAAAAGCACGTGAAACCACTTCACGAACTTTAGACGGCGGCGGCGGCAGGACGGTTACGGTTACGGCGGGTGAACGGACAAGCACACAGAGCAGAGTCAGGTCGCAAGTCAATTTGGGGTGAGCACACAAGTATTTCACTATACAAGTAGGCTCAGAACGGTAGTAGTTCGCTAGAGATCGGCTCCAGAGAACAGCGGCGGTTACGGATTTAACGGTTGGGGGGTCGACAGAAAAGTAGATTTTTGGGTGCCTAATTAGGACATTCGGCTGCTCTATATATACTATTTCGTGGTGGCTCGTGGTGGCTGTGCTGATGCTGCGGAGTGACGTTACAAATGGTCACACCACAACATGTAAAAACACGGAACGACATGTAGATACGTCCGGCAACATTAGACTGTTTTGACCACTTTGTCCTTCTTTGCAGTGTCCCAGATCCAACTGGTGATTCCATCAATTATGCCATCATTTCTTGATGATGGTTTTCCCAGCCTCCAATTGGCCTTGACTCCAAACACTTTGGAGTCATGACACCGGGCCTCGAATCGAACGAGGGACTTCGCCTTCAAAAAGTGCAAGAAGGTACTTTGGGACGACACGTTACCAGCTACACCACCAGGCCACGAAGGAGAATGATTGCAGGAAGGAAAACTCATATTAACAAACAGCGGGGGAAAAGAACGGGAAATAGCGAACGGAAAAGCAGCTGTCAGAAGGTCTGATGGTAAATTAACGAACGGAAGGGAGATGAAAGGTGAGGTGACTCATCTAACAGACGAGGGATGAGGGAGTAAGATGGATTGACTCAGTTAACGAGTGGAGTAAGCAGGAAATAGAACTGCAAGGGACAGATTGATCAGGGGGGATGACGGGAGGGGGTAATAAGGGCAACAAAGAGGGAAGGGGCAGTGTGAGTAGGAATGGTATAAATACAGGGATGTAGAACGGAGTGAAGTATCTACTTTTTCCCCATCTAAATTCGCCAACTAGCCTAAACAGCTATCGAACGGTTGAAAACCACTTCAGAAAGAACTCTGCAGCAAAGGGAGGAACAAAGGTCACCAACACTTGCAGTTTGGCACAGCGAACATAGGATTATAGTCTGTCTACTGCACAGAGAGTCATGAACAGCCACCCCGCTCCCACATTATCATCGATAACTCCCCTCAACCTCCTCCGTTGTCATGAGCCAAAAGTGTTTGGACTCAGAATGAAATTGATGATGGAAAAATCCGACTCCTCAGAAATGGACAAAATTAGTAAAACTGGAAACCATCTCATTTCGCCCTCTCTCGGAATCACCAGAGGCTCCGCACTCGATGATGTCACCGTTGAAATGCGAAGGACATCACCGCTGGACGCAGTGATGTCATCACATAGAACAATGGCATTATGCGCAATGATGTCATCACACAGAACAATGGCATTATACGGAATACGCTAGAACAATGACATCATAGATAGAATAACCTACACAGAACCGCACATATGACATCATTTACCTACAGTATAAATAGAGCTCGTAGTACCCTTGTTAATATACCAACCCACGCATGCACCTACGAATCGATCTACGTCCTACGCCCTACGCTTTTGTGTTTACTGTTGCGATCTCAGTATTCACCACGTTTTTGAATTTATAATTGTCACTCGGATTCTTCTAAGTTCCTTCGCTCTCGAATAAGCTAGTAAACACGGTTTTACTTGTTTGTTCACCCTACGCCTACGCCTACGCCTCATGTCTACGTCTACGCCTCCGCCGCCGCCTCAGTTGATAGATATTCGATTTATCTGCTGAGACACCTTCGTCTACGTCTACGTCTACGTTTTGGAATTAACTTGTGAACAATTCACTTGTTTGTTCCACCCCTATACCGCTCCCCTCGAGTACACTTGTGGAATTATGTCTACTTGTATACTCATTCTATCGTCTGCCTCCCTTGCGTTTTCTTTCATTTGACAAAGCATTTATTCTCACCACCCAATCCTCGTGTCATTGCGACCTTGGACGAGAGCTTTGTCTTTTTATTGAAAGCCTTTTGAGCACACTTGTTAGTTCGTTTATACAAGTGAGCTCGTTCTACTCGCCGCACTCCCAGCCTCCTACTCGCCGACCTTTGCCCTCGTCAGATTCGTCCCTTGATACGCTTTCGCATTTCGAGGCATTCTAGAGACTTTTTGACAACTTAGGGAAATTTGAACCTTTGGAGAAACACTCGGACAACGTCAATCCCAGTGGACCTCCTGTATTAACCAATAATACGCTTGACACCGTACTTAAACTATCGAACGGAGAAGAAACAGAGCAGTCACAGAGCCAGTTGTAAGAGCACACATGGTGTGTATCTTTGCGTATTTGGTCGAACAATGGAAATATGGAACAGATAAGAGAAGAAAAGGGCTTTGGGAGGGAAAGACAAGGAAAACAAGGAACGACGAGACATGTCGAGCTGTTAAAGACTCATATAACTCTCCAACAACAGCATACACAGGCATTTATGGGAGAAATAATGGGCAGCAACCGCCCTTAGAACCGAAACTTAACACTCAAGCACCCCCGACGGGATTTGTTGTGTTGAAACGACCCTCATCGCCTCTGGATAGCTGTCCTTGTTCAGCAGGAGTGTAAGGAAGGGACACACACCAAGGCTGAAGGAAGGCAAATTAACAGACGGTGATAAGCCGGGTTTCAGGTTATGCCCTGTTTCTCAGGTTTTTCGCGTTTTATGATCTTTAAGACGCGCATCTCGAGTAGATATAATAAGCTTTGAGTCAGACTATATAGGAGCATTAATACGCTCACCCGCAGTGTAAGGCACCAGCCTACCTACCATCCAC